TCATAATATAAATAAATAAATATTTCTTAGTAATGTCATGTATTATTTTATTTTAGAGTGGATACCGAAATTGAATCAGTACAAGCGTAAGAAAGTTAATCACGGGAACACTGAACCATTCACTCCTTTATTAATTGAGAGGTAAAACCACACCCACCAATACATTTACTATGTACATGTAAATATATTACTGTAAATGGCCTCTCATTCTAGTGTACACCTCCATTTAACGGACAGCACCTAGTGTACCAATTACATTCCTTACTGTATAAAATAACCTCCACATAAAGGACACCTCTGTATAACAGAGACACTGTCTTGATCCAAAGTGTCCATTATATACATGTAGAGGCTAGTCTGTACATACACATACTCTAATCATTATTAATAATATTCATTATCTTTTCCCAGTCCTTCCCACCAACATCCTCTCAAAGTATCCACTCTAAGACGTAACTCCTCCTTCTCCCTCCCAGTGGGCGTGGCCTATGACTCCATATTCCTATTAAGTAGTGGGCGTGTCACAAGTATTGGACCCCGAGGACAGTTCAACTGGCAGACTGATACTGAAGCAGATTGGGATTTCGCTACTGATACTATTTATAGTAACAATGAGTCGCCGGTAGGTGGGGCTGAAGGGGGCGGGGACAAGAAGAGGAAGATGGAGTATGATTTTGTTAGTGAGTCATTCAGACCATCAATGTCAGCTCTAGCTCTTAAATCATATGGAAAGAAAGTAATTAATTAAAATACATGTACAAATGTACATGTACAGTAATAATGTAGCAAGAAGCAGAATACCATGCAAAATATGTCTTTGAAACATCCCCTAGATCTACATGTACATGTAAAAGTGCATGTACATATACATGTAAGGCCTGTTTTAAGGTGTGTGTGCATGTACATGTATAAGTAATTTGATACCTGAGATATCTGCTTGAGGTGAAGCTGAGGGCAGATATCAAGTGATTCAAGTATTACATTACTGATACTCATGGACTAGTACATTATGTGTATATGCTGCATTTTAGCTTGGGGTTGTATTGTAACTATTCATGTACTGAGATTAGTTGAATACATGTACTTGTATATACATGTACTTATTGCAATATTTATTCCCAATTTATTATTATTATTATTATATTATTATTGTTATTATTATTATTATTATACCTTATAGGATCATATACTACTGATAGGCTGGTATTCAGTGACAGTATTGGATGCTACTGATGGTTCAATACTAGTCCAACACATACTCTCCTCTCCTCCTTTATCCAAACCAGTCATTAGTGACTTCACTGATGATTCATCCAATGACATTATAATACAAACACAACATGGGTGAGAATTAACAGACTAAAATACCGTATAGTGGGTAATTTTGGAGGGGATTAAATTTGGCAAATTTGGCGTTTTGATAGCCATTTGCCAAAATAAAACCCCACCATTTTGAGCCATTATACACATGCTCATGGCACCTGGCCACAAATTCGCCAAAATTAAAACCCGCCAATTACCAAAATTTAGCAATTCGCCAAAATTTATCCCCTCCAAATTTACCTGCTATACAGTAATGTATGTACATGTACTGTAATACTAGTGTCAGTTTAATGGTAAGGATTTTATTTGGTCTGTGATAAGCAATTAGCCAATTGGGCCACAGAAATTTTAGCTGTATGGCATAGGCCATGAAACTTGTATATAGAATGAAGCAAATATAGCATATTGGCTGTCTAGCTGATTTTCTAATCATTGCTCATCCATGCAAAAATTGTCATGTGTTCATTACGTTTTGTAATACTACATGTATACACAATGCAATACTTGGTAAAGCATGAGAATGAAACTGTTTACAGTAATTGGACAGACTTTATTATTATTATTCATGTACATGTACATTGTTATTCTAAAGTTTCAAGTGAACTGTTTTCCTAGCATTATCATAGTCTTTTCTTTAGTCTGATAGGATTATCACTGGTCCATAGATCAGGTTTCCTCCACTCCACTATATTGTCATTGTTCATTGGATTCATTATTGTCCTGGTGGCTGTGTACACTAGACAGAGAACTGGTTTCCTCATGCCTAAGATAAAGGAGGCACAAGATTAATGACTTGTAACTGAGAATTGATCTCTGTGTGTATGTGTGTACATTTTTTTATAATTATTGATTTGGCATGATTTACTTTTTGCTTTCATTTAATGCTGTGTTTACACTACAGAAGTGGGCCAAACCATGCTGAACCAGGCTGAGCTGGCCCTGCTGTACTAACCATGCTAACCCAGCTCAGTTTGGTTACTGTTTATCAAATGAAACTGTGCTGGCCCACTTTAAACAGGGTTGGCTCAGTTAAAGAAGCTAGTGTAAACGCAGTATTAGCCCATTTTGCTCCAGTCAGTTCTCATGTACCAATCAATATTCATCCACAACATTATTACACAGTACACATTATATGTTTCATGGTGTTGGTGGGTATGTTGATCTAGTCCAGTATACATCCTCCCATTAAGGCTGTCTGTTTATAAAGGCTATGGTAGTTCAATAGCAGTAGGAAGTGGCTATTATTTCTAAGAATAAGAATGATGATTAGAATTCACAAAATAATGTCAGAAAGGATAATAAAGGTACATGTATAATACCCTCCCATTGACTGTATAGCAGTAGGAGGTGTTTATTATTTCTAAGAAATGATAATAAAAATTCATATCCCAGCTACAAATGTTCAGTAAGGAGAGAAAGAGACTTAATGTATTGTAAGATGAATGCATGCATAGCTACCTGTATATAATCCACATGATACATTCTTGATGATACCTAATGTGTAAGCAAGAGTACTTTTCGTATGATACTGATTGTTTTAAGATCCTATAGTAAAGGTGCATGTATAGCTACATACATGTATAGTATGTAGCTATATATCTATATCTATATCAATTATGTGGCTGCTGTATAGCAGAGGCACAATGTGTGTATATGCTAGATTTCATATTATTATTATGTATGCATGTCATTATCAAGCATGCTTGCATGCTGACGTGTCCAATTTTTCAAAACTAAATTGTACATCAAAAATAGCTAGCTAATGCATATACATGATTATTTATAAATGTAGCTAACAAATAACTTAAATAAGTTCCTGTCTTCAGTTTTAAATTAAATTACTATCAGTCATGATCATCCCCGCCGTCTGTTCTGTCCACATCTCTTCTATTCTCTTCTCTCCCAGGATGATATCGCCTTGCTTTCCAGATCTTATACACAAAGAATCCTATTCCTATTGCTATTAGGACTCCTCCAACAACCAGCAGTGCATTAGTGACATTTGAATTACTTGCCGCATTACTTGCAGCATTACTTGCTGCATTACTTCCTGCATTACTTACCATATTACTTACATTACTCTCAATATTACTTTTCTTAGGAAGCAAAGATTGAATTGACTTGCCAACTTTAATGGGGAAAATTGTAATTTCATTATCTTCCAGTCTAGCTGCACCAAGGACAGCTATTGTACTACCATATCGCAAAATATCATAAGTTTCCTTCTTCGTTGATTTTTTGGGCCATCTTTGTAATACTTCTGTAAATTGTTGTGATTTATCAATTTCTACAACTGTGAGAATAATGTTTTTGTCTTTATGAACACTTACTATATCCTTGTTTTGTAGGTGAAATGGGATTGAAAAAGTGATTTCAGAAGTGTCTAAATAATACCCTCTTGAATAATCCATCATAGCCTTTCCT